ATAAGGGTCCTAGAAGTTGAGATAAATAGGCTGAAGTGAGTTACAGGGGCAGTGACCAGAGAAGACACAGCATGTGAAGCTGCGAGGCCGAACAGGAAGGAAGGAATTATGAATTATGCTAAGGTCATATCAGCCTGCCAAGGAGGACCAAGGAGTGAAAGGGAAGAACAGCTGGTTGCAGATGGAGAGGGTGATAGGTCGAATGCTGAGGCACAACCATGCTATCAAGAGCCACTGGAAAAATCAAGGGAGAAACTGACCACATACAGGCAGGATCCAGAGTCACAGAGGGTGAGGCAATGGGAGGAGGAAAGGGCAAAATCAGTGTTTATCCATGGGCTTCAGGAGAGAGAGGAAAGGACACATACTGAAAGGCAGCAGGTAGAAATAAAGGAGATTGAGAAAATCATCACGGAAATAGGTGAAGAGATGGATGAGATTGTAAATTTTCAGAGAATATGGGGGTACTCGAAGGGGAAAAACCGACCAATCAAGCTGATTCTCAGGACGGAAACAGTGCGGAACAGGATCCTCCAAGAGAAACCACGATTGAAATACTCGGAAGAGTACAAGAGGGTGTTCCTAGACAGAGACAGAAAATCAGAACGACAGCAGCTGAGGGAGAGGACAAAAAAGCGAAAGGAGCTAGGAAAAGAGACAAGGATGGAACCAGCAGAGGTCAGTCAGAGCAGAACAGAAGAGCAAGGGCAAGCACACACACAACTATTCTCAGAACCATACAACCTATCACACCATCCCAACACACACTACAGTCCATACCCACAGCCTCCACCCAACACCGAGCTATAGAATCCCACAGTATGCCACCAGGTCTCCCACCCTCACAGGCCCCCCCAAACCACAGTGTTGGAAAGGAAACTGAAGGTATGGTACACAAACGCTGATGGAATAACAAATAAGTGGGAGGAGTGGCATGAAAGAGTCAAAGAAGCATCACCGGACATCATAGCTCTCACAGAAACCAAGCTTACAGGTATGATAACAGATGCCATCTTTCCAACGGGATACCAAATCCTGAGGAAAGACAGAGGGAACAGGGGGGGTGGAGGAGTGGCACTGCTGATCAAAAATCGCTGGAATTTTGATGAGCTGGAGAGAGGAGACAGCGGAGAAGAAAGTGATTACATAGCGGGAACGCTTCACTCTGGAGGTCCCAAGGTGGTAATAGCAGTGATGTATAACCCACTGCAGAACAGCAGGAGGCCAAGGCAAGAGTACGACGAGAGCAATAGAGCGATGGTTGACACACTGGCTAGAGTGGCCAGAAGAGCTCATGCATGCAGGGCAAAGCTCCTGATCATGGGTGACTTTAACCACAAGAGATCGATTGGGAGAACTTGGACCCACATGGGGGCCAAGATACATGGAGGGCTAAGATGATGGAGGTGGTACTGGAAAACATCATGTGCCAACACGTAAGGGACACTACAAGAGAGAGAGGAGAGGATGAACCTGCAAGGCATGGACTTAGTATTCACCTTGAGTAGTGCAGATATCGAGGACATCACATATGAAAGACCCTTGGGGCACAGTGACCATGTGGTTTTAAGCTTCGAATACACAGTAGAGCTACAAGTGGAGAGAGAAGCAGGAAGGCCAGGACGAATGAAGCCAAACTACAAGAAAGGGGACTACATAGGAATGAGGAACTTCCTGAACGGGGTTCAGTGGGACAGAGAACTGGCAGGGAAGCCAGTTAATGAGATGATGGAATATGTAGCAACAAAATGCAAGGAGGCTGAGGAGAGGTTTGTACCCAAGGGTAACAGGAATAATGAAAAAGCTAGGATGAGCCCATGGTTTACCCAAAGGTGCAGGGAGGCAAAAACCAAGTGTACTAGGGAATGGAAGAAATATAGAAGGCAAAGGACCCAGGAGAATAAGGAGAGCAGTCATAGAGCCAGAAACGAATATGCACAGATAAGAAGGGAGGCCCAAAGACAATTATGAAAATGACATAGCAGCGAAAGCCAAATCTGACCCGAAACTGTTGTACAGCCACATCAGGAGGAAAACAACAGTCAAGGACCAGGCAATCAGGCTAAGGAAGGAAGGAGGAGAGACAACAAGAAATGACCGTGAAGTATGTGAGGAACTCAACAAGAGATTCAGAGAAGTGTTCACAGAGGAGACAGAAGGGCTCCAGAAAGACGGAGAGGTGGGGCACACCACCATGTGCTGGACACAGTGCACACAACCGAGGAGAAGTGAAGAGGCTTCTGAGTGAGCTAGATACCTCAAAGGCAATGGGGCCAGATAACATCTCTCCCATGGGTATTGAGAGAGGGAGCAGAGGCGCTATGTGTACCCCTAACAACAATATTCAATACATCTATCGAAACAGGGAGATTGCCTGAGGCATGGAAGACAGCAAATGTAGTCCCAATCTTTAAAAAAGGAGACAGACATGAAGCATTAAACTACAGACCAGTGTCACTGACATGTATAGTATGCAAAATCATGGAGAAGATTATCAGGAGAAGAGTGGTGGAACACCTAGAAAGGAATGATCTCATCAACAGCAGCCAACATGGTTTCAGGGACGGGAAATCCTGTGTCACAAACCTACTGGAGTTCTATGACATGGTGACAGCAGTAAGACAAGAGAGAGAGGGGTGGGTGGATTGCATTTTCTTGGACTGCAAGAAGGCGTTTGACACAGTTCCACACAAGAGATTAGTGCAAAAACTGGAGGACCAAGCAGGGATAACAGGGAAGGCACTACAATGGATCAGGGAATACTTGACAGGAAGACAGCAGCGAGTCATGGTACGTGGCGAGGTGTCAGAGTGGGCACCTGTGACCAGCGGGGTCCCACAGGGGTCAGTCCTAGGACCAGTGCTGTTTCTGGTATTTGTGAACGACATGACGGAAGGAATAGACTCTGAGGTGTCCCTGTTTGCAGATGACATGAAGTTGATGAGAAGAATTCACTCGATCGAAGACCAGGCAGAACTACAAAGGGATCTGGACAGGCTGCAGAACTGGTCCAGCAATTGGCTCCTGGAGTTCAATCCCACCAAGTGCAAAGTCATGAAGATTGGGGAAGGGCAAAGAAGACCGCAGATGGAGTACAGTCTAGGGGGCCAGAGACTACAAACCTCACTCAAGGAAAAAGATCTTGGGGTGAGTATAACACCAGGCACATCTCCTGAAGCGCACATCAACCAAATAACTGCTGCAGCATATGGGCGCCTAGCAAACCTCAGAACAGCATTCCGACATCTTAATAAGGAATCATTCAGGACCCTGTACACCGTGTACGTTAGGCCCATATTGGAGTATGCGGCACCAGTTTGGAACTCACACCTAGCCAAGCACGTAAAGAAACTAGAGAAAGTGCAAAGGTTTGCAACAAGACTAGTCCCAGAGCTAAGAGGTATGTCCTACGAGGAGAGGTTAAGGGAAATCAACCTGACAACACTGGAGGACAGGAGAGATAGGGGGGGACATGATAACGACATACAAAATACTGAGAGGAATTGACAAGGTGGACAAAGACAGGATGTTCCAGAGATTGGACACTGTAACAAGGGGACACAGTTGGAAGCTGAGGACACAGATGAATCACAGGGATGTTAGGAAGTATTTCTTCAGCCACAGAATAGTCAGTAAGTGGAATAGTTTGGGAAGTGATGTAGTGGAGGCAGGATCCATACATAGCTTTAAGCAGAGGTAGGATAAAGCTCACGGCTCAGGGAGAGTGACCTAGTAGCGATCAGTGAAGAGGCGGGGCCAGGAGCTCGGACTCGACCCCCGCAACCTCAACTAGGTGAGTACACACACACACACACACACACACACACACACCACACACACACACACACACGCACACACACACACGCACACACACACACACACACACACACACACACACACACACACATACACGCACACACACACACACACACACACTAGGTGAGTACACATACACACACACACACACACACACACACACACACACACACACACACACACACACACACACACACACACACACACACACACACACACACACACGCTGCTGTACGTCTCAGGTTGAGTCTAGTTGATGAGCCAGCAAGACAGGTAAGGTGTTAAGGTTGTCACGACAACACTGCTCCAATTTCCAGCACGTGTGATGTGCTGGTCCAGCTGCTGTGTTCCTGAGTCTGTGTTCCAGCTGGTCCCAGAGTTACGTTCGTGTCTTTACGCTGGTGCCAGCTGCTGTGTTCTAGTGTTCACGCTGGTGCCAGCTGCTGTGTTCTTGTGTTCACGCTGGTGCCAGCAGCTGTGTTCTTGTGTTCACGCTGGTGCCAGCTGCTGTGTTCTTGTGTTCACGCTGGTGTCAGCAGCTGTGTTCTAGTGTTCACGCTGGTGCCAGCTGCTGTGTTCTTATGTTCATGCTGGTGCCAGCTGTTGTGTTCTTGTGTTCACGCTGGTGCCAGCAGCTGTGTTCTTGTGTTCACGCTGGTGCCAGCTGCTGTGTTCTTGTGTTCACGCTGGTGTCAGCAGCTGTGTTCTTGTGTTCACACTGGTGATAGCCGCTGTGTTCTTGTGTTTACGCTGGTGCCAGCTGCTGTGCTCTTGTGTTCACGCTGGTGCCAGCAGCTGTGTTCTTGTGTTCACACTGGTGCTAGCCGCTGTGTTCTTGTGTTCACGCTGGTGCCAGCAGCTGTGTTCTTGTGTTCACACTGGTGCTAGCCGCTGTGTTCTTGTGTTCACGCTGGTGCCAGCTTCTATGTTCTTGTATTCACACTGGTGGTAGTGTAGTTACTGCGCTTCTGTGTTCACTCTGGTGCCATCAGGAATGTTCTTGTTCCGGTGCCAGCTGTGTATATGATGTTTTTCGCTTGTGATGAACACTCCCGGAATGCTGGTGGTCGGGAGTGAGACGATATTTATATCCAGTGTCTGGAGGCTGTGACTGACTGCTGTCTGGAGAACGTTGCACAAACTTCTGATTGGAGGAAGTTACACAGACTTCCGACTGGAGGGCGTTACAGGCACTTCTGACTGGAGGGCGTTACACAGACTTCTGACTGGAGGGCGTTACACAGACTTCTGACTGGAGGGCGTTTCACAGACTTCTGATTGGAGGGCGTTACAGAGACTTGATTGGAGGGCGTTACTTCCGACTGGAGGGCGTTACAAAGACAAGTATGCCGACAAACACAATTATGCAGACCAATCTTTTACCGGCGCAGTTATTCACGGTTGGGGAGGGGCGAGCACAAAACCAGTATGGGGTCATACAAAGCTCGGGGTAAAGAATACGGGTGGTAGTCATGTTCGATCCAAGGAAGGGGAGGATAAGGCTTAATTCCTGATACCAAGAGGCGCCCTCACATGCATCAGTGAACCTGCCATGATGGAGGCTCTTCCTCGCAGGTGACGCTGTCCTAACCTTACCTTGTTGAGGATGCTTTAGTGAATCCAGCCTTCCCGTGTCTTGTCTTGCTTGTGACCGATTCAAGGGTTTTCCGACGATGCTTCGGTCCAAGTCGGACCGAAACGTCGTCATAAACTTTTCCTATGTGCGGGTTATCTGTGTATTGTTCCAGTCACGGTATTGTGCCTTTTTGCTCCTTATTGATTGTGAGTATTACGATACAAACAGTAAGAGAATTGCTTTTGATGAGTTTGCATATTATATACGACTACAGTTCCTTCCCTCTGTTACATGGTATTCTCCTGTAATTTAACCTAGAACAACAGATATTAAAATTTCTAGAGAAGAATACCGAGCAGAGATAAACGAACTCTAATGCTTGAGAAACTATACGTTGTATATGGAGGATAGGTTGGCTTACTATCCTAGCCAAATTATCGTTCAGTATTTGCCTTGCTCGAAGTGACTGGTACACTGGTGAAGATCCCCAGGAAAAAATAATGATGAATTATTGAAAAAATGATTAAAGAAAATAAAAAAAAAGATAATTCTAATTGCATAAATAAAAAATATAATTCAAATTGTATAAATAATAATTAAACAGTTTAAGAAGTGAGTTCGCCTGAGTGTATAGCTGAGTCTACATAAATGAGTGTATAGATGAGTCTACATAAATGAGTCAACGTAAACGAATCCACATAAACGAGTCAATAGTGTGCTACATAATTATAACCATTAAGGGAGATGGTAATGGATGAGGATACGTAGTTTGGGGGAAGGTAAATGAAATTTGAAATTTTTGAGGAGAGTACGAGGGAGAGAGAGAGAGAGAGAGAGAGAGAGAGAGAGAGAGAGAGAGAGAGAGAGAGAGAGAGAGAGAGAGAGAGAGAGAGAGAGTTCTGATGAGTGGGAGCGCAAAGAGCTCCCTCACCTGGGTGGGTGATCGACACAACCAATTAACCTCAGTGATAAATCTCTGTAACTAATTACAGAGATGTAAGCGCGGTAGTATTGCAACGTTGTGTGTGTGTGTGTGTGTGTGTGTGTGTGTGTGTGTGTGTGCGTGTCGCTGTTGCTTACCCGTTGATACGAGGACACTGCAAGGCACTCAACAAGGTGAGATACCCTGATAACGTGATAAATCACGAAAATGTTTGGAATTTCACTATTTTTTTGCAGTGGGTGTTCTGCAAATATACAGTGTCCACAAAAACACTTCTTAATTTCAAACAGGTATAACACGTAACATGTTGTAATAATCTTTCACAGTCAGTAGCTTCAGATGCAGGATTTCATTCAGTTTCATGTGGTATAGGGTAGCATTAAAGGCATTCAGTGTGCGCCCCTCTGGTTGCTCGGCAAACATCGATGCGATAGTCCAGTTCGGTCCAGACGCTCTGCAGCATATCTGGTGTTATGCGAACTGCTTCGGTGATCGGAATTTTCAGCTCTTCCATGGTTGCAGGTAGTGGTGGTACGTAAACTGTGTTCTTCGCGTACACCCAAAGAAAGAAGTCATAAACAGTTCGGTCCGGTGACCTCACAGGCCACTTGTAGAGGTCACCGGACCTGTTTGTGACTTCTTTCTTTGGGGGTACGTGAAGAGCACAGTTTGCGTACCACCACTATATGCAACCCTGGAGGAGCTGAAAATTTCGATCGCTGAAGCAGTTCGCCTGATAACACCAGATATGCTGCAGAGCGTCTGGACAGAACTGGACTGTCACATCGATGTTTGCCGAGCAACCATATACGGTATTGCTTGCGTCTCAGAATGTGGCTTGACACCAGTGGGGCAACACCAGTGTCCAGCCACACTCTGAATTTACGATAGACCTATATCAGGCTTGATCTAGGTCTATCATAAATTCTAGTTCCCATGTTGGACTGAGTTAAGCTAATACGTCAAACATTTATATAAAGACGAACACGAAGACTGGTTAAATCAGTGGGAGACCAGACTCGCTCCCTCAGGCTCGAACTCAATTTAATGAGTCTCACGTGAAATATATTCAACAGTCTTTCTATAGCAAACCCTTGACATGTTTCTGTTTTTCATTTAATGAGCCTTTCAGTGGTGCCGTTGGTCATATAATAATAATAATAATAATAATAATAATAATAATAATAATAATAATAATAATAAAATTATTATTATTTTAATAATATGGCGAAGTGCTAAACCCGTAGAGATTATACAGTATCTGGGGAATGGGAGACAATTAGGATCAATCCAAGGAGAAGACAGGTTTAATTCCTTGGATCAAGAGCTCATCACAAAGATCAAGGCATCTGATAGGTGTCTACTGATGCACACATGAATGTGGTACTCTGTGACCCTGGGGTGGGCCGTGGCCTAGCAACCACTGACTTATCGATCAGTCTCAGTGGTGTTAGTGACCTGTCTCGCGGATTAATCCACATTCATAAACAACGAACATGTGGTTCACAACTATGAGAGCAATGGTGGTTTCTCGGCCAATGTTAGACGTAAGCCGGCTGTTTATATAATTTCGTCATTGTCTCGGTATCTGTATGTAAATATGGGTTCGAAACGGCGTAATCCGTCAGTAGCCCTATAAACCACAACACGTACATGTGTTACTTGCTTCGTGGAAGGTTATGTTTCTTAGCTTTCCAGTATCATTACTTACTTGAATGCCAAGTTTTTTTTTTTTTTACCTTATACGCTGATTATTAAGTTGAGTTGATTTGACGATAATTAACCAATTCAAACCAAAATAACATACTTTACGAAGAATGAAATAATGTATAATTACAAGAGAATAACAGTTTTCTCCAGACAGTGCTTTCAGACATGATCTCTAAACCTGAATGATCTATTGTGAATGCATAGAAAAGGATGTACAGTATGCAGAGCAAATCGTTATTGTGGAGACGTTTTGCTCAACCTCGTCACTGAGCGAAACCTCGCCATAATGTCTCCTTACCATACTTGTCAGAACCAACCAACACTTGTCAGCGAGAGCAGTGTGTCTGTGTGGCCTATCAGGCCTATCAGCGGAAGAAGGAATGAACCTTCATCACGCCTTGTGCAGTATGACCAACATGGCTTTAGTGCTTTATATATTAATAATAAAATGATGATGATGATGACGCTGCTGCTGCTGTTGATGATGATGATGATGATGATGATGATGATGATCATCATCATCATCATTACCATTATTTTACAATCAAACATGAAGCCACTGATTCCGGTGCTCTGTCGCACTCACCTCTGCCTTCAACTGGGTCAGGGTGGAGCGAAGCCAGCTGGTGTCAAAGCTCTTGCCTCTGTTCCACCTGGCAGCCTTCAGCAGCTCTATCTCCGCCTGCCTCCACTTCCCGGAATGCAGCAGCCATCTCGGGGACTCCGGCAGGAGGCTGCCGAGGGAAGAACAGATATAAGTACTGGTGAGTGACGTTGTGATGAGTGAAAATGAGAATGCTGGTGAGGCTCTGCTCAGGAATGAGTAAATATGACTGCTCGTGAGTGATGTTTTTGATGAGGGGTGAGTATGAGGACTGTGTGAGTGATGCTCTGCTGGGGATGAGTATATAATGAGAGTAACTCGTGAGTGATGCCAATCAGTGTTCCTATTTTTAATTTAAGGACAACACAGCAATTTGCAACAATAACAAAAAAATAATGAGAACACGCAAAAGCAACAGTGACTATATGCAACATTACTTCAAGCCAAATTTGCAACAACAATAAGAAAAAAAGCACTAGCAACAGATGCAGGAACAACAGCATTAACTTCTAAAAAACAGTAAAAATTATGTTACGATAATACCAAAAATAACACAAGCAGGATCCACAACAACAATGAAAGCAAGAACACAACAATAGCATTTAATAACAAGAACAAGAACAACAAGAACAACAACACTAAGAGCTAGAACAACATCAACTAGGATAAATATATGTATAACAGAAGGAAAGAATTCGTATATTCATAAAAAAATATGAGTGTTGGTGTAGTCTTTATTCTAGTTTTGTTTTTTTTGTCATTAATGTGAATAACTTTTGTGTGAGATTATCTTTTTTTTCTATGCTTCAGACTGATCAGAAGGAAGAGAACAGAAGTAGAGCAAACAAGCAACGCTAAAAGCAAGAGAGCTCACAAAGTGCTCTAAACCAACAGCATTCCTCAAACAACTGGAAATAAAACTTTACCCAATAAACTATGTTTTACATTATAATAAAAAAAAACTACGTTGCCAGTAGGTAAGAAGGAAGGTTCAGGACAGTCACCCAGATGTGATTCTGACAACATATGCAGCTGACTCTGATTCAAGTCAAGATATTTTTCTGCGCGAGGAAGACTTAGATAATGCGCGAAGACTACAATTAAGTAAATAACAAAAAGGCACAATACCGTGACTGGAACGATACACAAATAACCCGCACATAAAAGACAGAAGCTTACGACGACGTTTCGGTCCGACTTGGACCATTGACAAAGTCACACTAACAGAGGTGGAGCAGGACGGCTATATATAGGCAGGAAGAGGTGGAGGTAGTAGTAGTAGTAGTAGTAGTAGTACAAGAATTGTATATAATACCGACAGGATGAAATGACACATGCACAACACCCGGGCATCCCCACCGTAGACGTTTCGCCATCCACCCAGCCACTGGATGGCGAAACGTCCACAACAAAGACAACCAGACGCTGCACATGTGTCTTAATTTGATCAGTAGTTGTAGTAGAAGAAGAAGAGGTAGTAGTAGTGGTAGTGGTAGAACGGGGGAAATAAGGAAGACGAGCCAGTAAAATACAAAGGAAGGGGAGCACTGCAAGAGAGCTAGAAACCCACAGAGGGAGAGCAAGCGCACCGGGGTTTGCGTGAAAGGGGAAGTGGGGGAAAATAAAATAAAGATGAAGGAACAGAAACACGGGGACAGGAGAGAGAAAGACCCCCCAGAGGAGAAAAGGGAGAGGAAAGGGGGAAGGGGAAGAAAAAAGAAGAATAAGAGGAAGAAGAAGAAGAAGAAGAAGAAGAAAGAAGAAGAAAAAGAAGAAGAAGAAGAAATGAGGATTCAGGTTAAGTCACGGGTGTTCTGAAGTTTGGAGCATTTTACAATGTAGTGGGAGAGGAAGGCATCTACAGAGACGAAGCCAGGGCTAAGGTTCATACAAGGAAAGTTGTGTATAAGAGAGGATTCAACTAAACGGCGACTGTTCGAGTTGGAAGTAGGGAAGACAGTTTTAGCAGAAGACCAGTCAATAGGATGGCTATGATCTCTGACGTGACAGAAAAGAGCATTGTTAGTGTCGGCAAGCCACAATTAAGGGCAGCAGCTGCAAGTGACATTGTAATTATTAATGCTAACATTGCTGCCCAAATACACATTTTTAAAATAATAATTTTAAAATTCCTTGGAAGATTCCACGAGATGATGATGCTTTCCCTACTCGTGAGATGGCAAAAATTCTTCCAAATGGTGACAGCTGCACAAGATACTGGTTATTCTGGAGTGAGGAAAAACAGTCTGCACTGTGTACTTTGCTTCATTCTGAACGAAAGTTCTGCAAACGCAACACTTGTGTCTGATTAGTCACGACGAAGCGTCAGATGTTGCAGGAAGTCGAATGATGGAATACCTTCACATGAGAATTCAGCGTCTCACATTGAAAACTATATAGCATACATATCAGCTAGAAGGGCAGGATCTGCTGGAAGCTCCCGTCACAATTTACTCAAGACAGAAGCTAATATATGGAAAAACTTCTTGAGCGTATCCAAAATGTCATTATTTATTTTTCTTTCTGAGCGAGGATCAGATTTGTTCGGCTACACTTAGCGCATTGGTAATCATGCAAATGGAAGTTTTCCTGGAATAATCTTTCTATAAATATACAAATAGAACCGAGTGAACTATGTAGAGTCACATTGTACAATCAACAACTCTTGATGAAATTTGATTTGCTAAGTACTTTACAATGGTTTTCTGATACGTTAAGACTGTAGAATGTAGAAAACTTAGCATTTTCAAGTGACGGTTTATTTTGGTGGATAATGTTACGAGACAATAACTGGAAACGAAATTAAAAAAAATAAAAGACACAATACCGTGACTGGAACAGCACACAAATAACTCGCACATAGGAGAGAGAAGCTTACGACAACATTTCGGTCAACCGTGGACCATTTAAAGTGGGCCCTGTAAATGGTCAAAGTTGGACCGAAACGTCGTCATAGGTTCCTTCCTGAGTGCAGGTTTTTTGTTCAGGGAAACGAATTAATGCTCAAAAAATAAAATTCTACAGGTATAAAGTTATTTTTTCTCGGTTAGTGATCGGCTCATGACAAGGGAAAAATGTGGGTGGGAAACTAAATGCTTACGCGCATTTTGCTCGAGGATAAATTAAAAACGTGGAGCACTTGGTTTTCTTTACTAAGGAATTGTTTCGTACACGTGGCTTTCAGTCCATTTTCAAAAATAAATGCTGAAGATCAGGAGTTTGAGGTAATCAGTCCCCCAGCCGGGGTCAAAGTAATAGTCCATGAATCTTGATGGATGTTTCTCGACTCCCGGTGAGGGACTGATTACCTCCAAAATTTCCCTTTTGATATTCACCATTCCTCTTTGTATGGGGCTGATGAACCACTGCGTGGCAAAACGTTTCCCCAATACCCAAGTGTTGCCATGTGTTTAAAGTTCAAATTTCGGTTTTTGAACCCTTTATTACGTTCAACAAAACATAATTCACAATGTATTTTTCCACTGGAAAAAACGGTACTGAACTTGTCGGTGTCACTGTTTTTATCAAGTAAGAGACAAAAACTTTGGAATTTAGCAAATGCCAAACCCTTTTTGAACAGTCAACAAAAGTGAGAAATTCTAAAGCAATAATACCTTCCCGTGTCATCTCATGGGACGTCCATAACAGCAGTCAGCACGTAGTGATGGCGCTCAACCAGTTGTCCAGTATTTAAACTCAGTGAGAAAAACTTTAAATGAATTTGAATATCTTAACTTTTCTGCACATTTTCAAACAGAATTTTATTCAGGTATTCATGTAAATGTATGGGTAGCGTGACAGTGTCAGCGTGCCTCGTTGTGCTCCGGGTTTTCTGGTGTTTTCACGGTGGCTCTTACGTGCTAGAACTTTAATTTGTGTCATCAATCCTATACGATACATCCCTCTAGCGCCTGGAACCAATCTTGGGCGGAAAACATTATATACTGAGTCAAAAAAGGAGAATTAGTTGAGTATACATAGTGTATAGTGTATACTACAGTGGCTCCCTAGTATATTGATGATAAAGGCTAAAGTGTCATTTGAAAACAGGTGAATTTGTAAATGAAGTGATAAGCCTATAGAGGCAGGTGCCAGAAGTCGCCAGAAACTTACCACAGGTCAGCTGTTTTTAATAATCTTCCTGGCCTGCTAGTGTACTCGCATATAATCTAGTGATACCAGTGAATAGCAGAATACAGTGTTGTAGTAGCAACTATCCAGTATTATAATGGTACTTAGTGGAGTGGAGTGACTTTCATTAGTTTCTTTTTTCTTGAAATACCAGACATATACTGTGAATTTCATATAACCTGTAGTTACCAGCGGTCGCAATATACACAACGAGAAGCAATTATTACTACAGAAAAAGCGTCCTTCCTCCAAAATTTGCACCAGTCAACTATAGTGATAATATAGCATTTATTGTGGTGGAGACGGAAAAAAAAATAGAAAAGCTAGATACAGCGATTGATAAACAAGGGTGGAGGTCGACCGTTCGTCATTGTAGGAGTGCCAGCAGTCACCGGCTCTTCAACACGCAAGTTATACTTTTGTATCAATCAAATCACATATTACTCGGGTAGATAATTTCCAGTAGATCCTTCATGTGTTAGCTCAAATCACCGACCAGTATGGTTTAAATAAGTGACCCACTGATCAGATCAGATAGACTGGTCCGAACCCTTGACTGGTCCGAACCCTTGACTGGTCCGAACCCTTGACTGGTCCGAACCCTTGACTGGTCCGAACCCTGGACTGGTTTCAAACGGTTTCGTTGTGCACTACCTAGCAGGTTATTAATAGAATATTCAAGAGGTTGCTAGTAGAATTGCAGTAAATCAACCATTCAAATCATTATGAAGCTGTGTGTAGTCTGTGGTCAGTCAAACAAACGGGCTTCCACATGCATAAATTGTCATTTTTGTGGAAATTGGTGTCACGCCCCTTGTGCAGATATCCAAGAACTAGCTACAAGCAGTATTAAAACAGGGAAGTGTTTTTGGGTATGCCCAAATGAGATAAATCTGTGGACTAAAATCACAAGGGTATTAAAAGAGGTCAACATCAAAGCTGCTTTCATAGAAAACCTGGAAGCTTTCTACAACAGATGGGAACATAAAAAGTCTGGGC